CCTGGTGAGATTCTGTTTAGCAGGTGTAAGCTAATAAAGTACCTAAGCAATTCCAGAACCATCTCATGGAGTTTCTTGGGCTGAACCTGACAGTGAACCTAAATTCACAGGTTGCCTGTTTCCTTGGTGGACTTTACTTTGGACTTTCCTGAGCCACCATCAAACTGAACATGAGAGCAATAGCTTTGAGAATAACAACAGCTGTGAAGAGGGCTGGGAATATACCCCCCCCCCAAAAAAACCACTGGGTGTACATCTGACTCAAGATTTAAGCTTTGAATAGGTAAGCAACATTATGAAAACTGGTGAACCTTTTTCACAATGACATATTCAAGAAGGAGAAAGAGAGAACATTTAAGATCTAACCAATGGTGGTCTGCAGAGCTGCAATACCCATGAAGGCTGATAGAGCCTGGTCTGCAACTGAGCTGTCTCCTTGATGTGGTAGCAATAATAGCCAAGCTGTGCCAGCAGCAATGATATAAGCAGCAGCTTGAGCTGTATGGTTCAGCAGAATCATGGCTGCAGGAAGATGATTGGAGAACGTATCTTCCGTTATTACTGAACTGGCAAGTGAATACTGAAGCATGTAGAAGATGCAATCTGGATACTTGTTGAAGGCTAATTTCTTGGACAAGAAATCCTACTGAGGTACCAGGAATCTCATGGTACAGAGGTTGAGGAGCTGGACAGGTCTTCTGAAGGTACCGAGGAACAGCCAGACAAACTGGATTGAAAAAAACATGGAAGTTGTGGTACCAATGGTGGTGTATGTCCTTTTGGGACCATCAGAGGATGAGGGGGGAAGCTAGAAGTGGAGGCTGCCAACATTTTCCTTACCTGGTCTTGGGTAGGGGGATGGATAGGTATCATTTTGTCTGATGTCAGTGTATGGAGGGGAGGGCTCTATAGTTAGGCTGTGGTCCCACCATATAGTAGGCAGCAATTCAGGAGACCTGGAGTGTGATCACTCTGAAACACTACATAAAAGGCTTAGAGGAATATGGAGTCCAGACTGTGGGTCATTTGTGGCAAGGGAGTACAGATGTTCAGGTGTGTTTGTTGAAGCACTGAGTTGACTCTGCTGCCTGGATAAGCATAATGGTATGTGGGAATGACCTTGGGAGGCTGGATCCAGAGACGCTGGCTAGGGAATCGTCAGATAAGAGACACATAATCTGCAGCTGGATAGTGGGAGGGGCAAGAGGCTCATAGGAGACCCTCCATAATTTCTTGGGGGTAAAGGAGATGGGAAGAGAATTGTACTTTCAGGCTAGCAAGGTTCTGTTAATGTAACCTTACAATAAAGTGAATTAGCTGATCTGGTTGTGTTGCCTGTCTGGTCTACCTGGTAAGGCTGATAAGAAGAGGTGAGATGATTAGAGGTTGGCTCTCATCTGGAGTGAGAAAAAAAGTGAGTGATGAAGATATTGATACTAGTGGGAGGATTCCCTCCCTGTTACTGTATGGAATAATTAGGCAAGGTAGGGTGAGTAGTTGAAGGGTGGTTGGTATGCCAGCATGGTAGCTTTGCCAAATTGCCAGTCACCTGGTGGGGTTTGTGGAAGCACTAGCAAGAGTAGCTGAATGGGACAATGATTGGGGAGCATGGCACGTGTATCCTGTTGTTACAGTCTGAAGTAGATACAGGAGGCGGCACAGAGCATGCTACTCCAGAAGACAGATCAACAATGTAGTGCTGGTCTCAACCACTGGCCTGACAGCTTCAGTCTTAGATCTTGACTGTTAGATTGCCAATTACCTTGTTCTCAAGTTGCTCATAGTAAATACCAGATCTGTTTGTAATGATTTAATTCATCTAAGACCTTGTACATGGTCCTAACTATAGCAATGCACTCTATATGGGGCTGCCTTTGAAAATCACTAGGAAACTACAGCTGGTTCAGAATGCAGCAGTCCGATTGTTGGCTGCTCATCACTGGGTGCATATTAGTCAGGCCTTATATTAATTGCCTACTAGCTTCTGAGTGCAATTCAAAGTGCAATTTTTAACTTGTAAAGTCCTTAGTATCTTGCCACCAAGATACCTTCAGGACTGCCTTCCCCAACCAGTCACAGGTCCTGGAAGAAACCATGGTCAGTTCCCCATTTTTGCAAAGTGAGGGAGGCTAAGGCTTGCAGAAGCACCTGTGCTATGAAGCAGCCTCCGGATGGAGATCAAACTTGTTATTAACTTTCTCCTGTTATTGACTTTCTGAAATTCACTAAAAATGGAACTATTTCAGAGAGCATACGGAGACTAAGAAGACACTACTGAATGTTTAGTTATTGTTACTGTCATTACTGTTGTTTGTAGTATTGTTATGGTTAATTTGAACAGTAATTTATCATGGATGTTTTAGTTACACTGTTGTTTTGTGAACCACCAAAAGCCTGAGTGATTGTGGCAAAGCACAAATTAAATAAATGTTAAAAAAGAAAACATTTTGATAGAAGTGGTAGCAAATATACTATTGCAATATTGCTTTTCAATGGAGTTTACATAATGGTTTTGTAATATGAGGTCTTGCCTGTTGGCTAATTTCTTCTAGAAGTAGGAGATCTCCATAAAAAGCAGACATACGACAAATACATGCAGATATAGCAAGCTGTATATGGTTCTATTGTTAGTCCATATCAGCCTTCCTTAGCTGACAAGAAAATAGAGGATTGGAATCATGAAAGAGTTTCCTGCCCTCCCTCCCTCCAAGATGAACTGCATTGGTCCAGGAGTGAGATATTGGGGCTTGTAGAACATAGGGAAGGTAAGATTATCCCTTCCCCCCTGCTATACACCCCAACCCCAATAGCACCTCTCACAGAGCAATTCACTCTAGAAAAATAGGTTCTATTATTTTTGAATAGGACTCTGTTTTTCCCCAAATCTAACTAGTATGTGATTTAGTCTCAAAAGATGTCATAGTGACATCCAAATAAGAGCAGAAATTACATGTACCAAATTTGCAGAGTGATTGTATCTTCCAATCCACAATGGCAAATAGCTTTTAAATAAGCTTTGCCGTCTAGCAATTGTACCCTTCCTCCCTCCCCAGCAATGGCAGGAAACACACATTACAGGTATGGTTAAAAAAAAAAGGGGGTGGTGGAGAACAGCTACCTGCTGACTTCCGTTTAACTGCCTTGTTCCTCTTCAGCTCTAAGCCAACAATATCGCAGAGTGCGGTTAGTTCAATGAGTGCTAGGGTAGGAATTTTCTTCATGTCCTGCAGAGACAGATCTTCTGTCCTGGTTACTCCCAGCCTTCCTTTGGGGATTTTAAATTTCTAAACAAAGAAGCAAAAGAGGAGAAATTAGTGTGACATCTCAGGATCCACACAAAACTTCCTTCAATGAATAGATAAATAGATAAATAGATAAAAGCTTAAAAAAGGGATGGTAAAACCTGATTGTAACTCAGCTTCTTTGAGAAGACTACAGGAGGCCATCTAGTGTGATAAGATGGGGAGTTCATCTTTTCCAGCCCAGTTGTTGATGTTCTGAAGATGTTCTACGAGTGAGAATGGGAGCAGACACCCCCTGCAGGGTAAGCTACTACCATTCTCACCCTTTAATATTCTCCCAACTCTAAAAAAGAAAGTCCTGAAATTCTGTTGCTGACATTCTGCCATTCAGCCATCAAATTTCAGTAGCAATTTCTCAAGAGTGCTAGGGGAGGTCACAAATGGAGTACTGGGGAACCAATGCAGCCCATGGGATGGTCAACCCTGGCTTAAAACACAGAGAGCCTTACGGACAAACAACTCTCTTCCTTCATCCTCCTGGTTTCCCTTGGGAATGATCCTTTGAGCAGAATTGCAGCCTGCTCTGAATAGGCAATCTCAGTGCTGAATAACTCTTCTCTCACAGAATCTCTCAGTGGAAACTGGAGTCCTGGGATTCCCACTGGATCTAAAAGCAAAGAATTTTGAATGAAGAAAAGAACATACATTTCATAAACAAGATAGAAATTTACACTGTTGTCTACAGACTAAAATCAGTCTACAGAAAAACCTGATTGGCTCTTAAAATAAACTGATCCCAGGGTCCTAGAGTCAAGTGGCAATCAAATTTAAACAATCTAGGGTTTATAAGCAGAATAAAGTGGTTAAATAAAAGCTTTATGTTATCCTACAATCCCAAAAGCTTTAACTATGTCTTTTCTGTTTGCAAATCCAGTTGCCTTTGAAAGGTTTCAACACATGCTGCTTGCATGAATCAGGATTTTTTTAAAATGAAATGTATTTTGTTGAGGTCACTCAATTATTTTGTTTTCAATCATTTTTGTCACATAAACACCATATATCACATAAAACTTGCTCCTAAGAATTCTAGCCAGATGTATGCATTCACTAAATGTGCATGAATTACAAATGTGTCTATTCTAAGCAAGCTGAATGCTCTCCAAAAACGTTATTGCAACAATTAACCAAGATTTATGAGGTGTTCCTACCTAGCTGGTTTTATTTATTTCAGTACCTCATTTTTTTATTATTTAAAAAACAGCATTTTTTGGTGGGGACTTAAGGAAGTTATAAGACTATGTTGTGAAAGAGAGGGCTAAGCCTTCTCCACTGTGGCTTGATGTAATTCACTCTCACAACATCCACAGTGAAATCATTTGCACAGGCAACTTCAAAGAATAAGTCGAGCCCTTGAGTATTACAATCTCATCCCTTGCTTCCCTCCCTCCAAAACTGATACAAGTTAAATGCATACCTGAACTTTACATATTGTTAAATCAAGTTACAGTAAGAATTTAACTAATATGATAAATACTTTTGCAAGAGGAAAAATAAATTCATTAAAAAAATACACTCTTGCATCTAACTCTTGGATTTAGTTGACCCTGGCTGACCTCAAAAAGCTAAGCAGCTTTCGGACATCAGACTCCTTTAGTACTTTTTTTTGGATGGGAGGCAAATGACTTCTGCACTGCTGCCAAGAAAATACATTGATATGTGTCACATTGCCAAGAGTCAAGCTCAACTTGAAGACATTATTATTATTTTCTGAAGCTTTTAGTCCTTCAGTTTTGCAAGTTTGAAATCCTTAGAAAAACCAAAAGGGAAACAAAGAAACAGGAATATTGAAATTTAAAAAAAAAGTGATTACCACCAAAATATAAATCAACTTTCCCTAAATGCAACCTGTGTAGTTTATGTCAGAGAATTCTCTAGTCAGCATGGTCATCACCAAGAGGCCCTGGAAGGGGGTGCTCACATTGTAAAGTTTGCATACAAACTACAATAAATGGGGCTGGCAGAACTTTAAAATAGAAGGAGAAATCTTATTGTACAAGAAATGATGTCAGAAGAATCTTGCATCTTAAATTTCTTGCAAACATGTCACACCAGACTATTTGGAGAGTTACAAAGCTATATTCAGTGTATACTCTCACATGAAGATCCTAGAGTTTCTGCTTTTGCAGCAGGGTGCAAAATGTGTGGCAACTTGCCAAGACCCCTTTTGTGGGGAAAAAATTTGGTCAGTATTTGTATGCTGGGGCTGGCTTAAGAGGTAAAATGGGTGCCTGAAATCTTGCAGGTGCTGATGAGCCCCTTAAATTCCTGAATCCCCTTCCAAATCCTCCCCACTTTTAGAACACAGCTCTCAACCTGCCCCTCAAAGCCTGATGCGCAGTTGTGCAGTTTTATTCTAAAGAATATATTCCTTCTCTTTATTCATAGCAATGCAATACGTTTCTTACATTTCTGAAGGTTGTTAGATGATGCAGACCTGTGGTGTGGTCGATCCATTTCAGCCTCCGTCACTGGTTCAGTCTCCTAGACAGAGAATACGAGAGAAGCCAGTGAATTCACATATCACACTAAGCCATGGTTTGTTTTAAGCATGCCTTCTGGCACATCAGTGAGCTTTTTTACACTTAATGTAAGTAAGTAGTAACTTTATTGTTTTGAATGCAGGTTATAACAACACAGCATAACATGAAAAGAAATGAAAATATTTTAAACTGCAACATGCATAAAAAACAACACTTTTTTTTAAAAAAGTCAAATATGTTTTATAAAATGCTTCATTTACAAAGATTGATTCACACATTATATTAAGCCAAAACCAAAGAAACCATATTTGTTTGAGATTAAAATTCAACTTTTTCAGTACAACATACTGGAGAGATCCCCTCAAAATCAAATTTTTGTCAAGCAATAATTCATCATTTCTAAGGAAGTTGACTAATTTTTATGAAAAAATGAATCTTGATATAATTTTGAAGCCCAGCAGGAGGCAGCATGTAGCTGACCTTGGCTGATTTCAGAAAGCCATGCAGGATCAAGCCTAGTTATTACTTGCATGGATGACTACCAGAAAATATCAGGGTTGCAGGCCATACTGGTAAGGTGAAAAAGATATTCTAGAATGGGGCAATGGCAAGCCATCTGCATTTTTTCCAAGATAATTACATGGACAAGGATGTAAAGTCACCACGTCGAGTTCAACTTGAGGAAAATCTTTTGTCATTTCAAAGAGCACATTAGGAAAATTGCCCACTTGAAAACTTCATCTTTCCATCTAGATGCCATGAATCTATGCCACAAAGTGATGCCTCTCACTTCAGCTATAAAATGTACATATCTGGGTGTTTTTGATGATTGTCTCAGTTGCAGTGCCGGAAACAGGAATTAAGGTTCACAGCTAAAATCCAGTTCATATTAAACTCCTGTTGTCTGGTTAACACAGGTCAAAGAGCAGAAAGCAAATAGGCTCTAATGCAATTTAAGTGGATTAATCTGAATCAGAGAAATATTTGATGTCTTCTTTTCCTTGAACGAGACATCATGGTTTTGGTTCAGTGCACAGCAAGGAAACTAATGGTGGTGAAATCCTACCAGCTTTCTAATGATGACACAGTTACTAAATAATCCAGGTGCGTCAGAGGCTCTCTCTCTCTCTCTCTTTCTTTTTTGGCTAAAAATAGACTGTTTGGGTGTGGTGCAAAGTTTAGAAAACTACTGAAGTTGCTAACCACAAGGAAAGTATTCTCTGTGTTTAATCAAGAAGAAGCCATTTTGATGGTTTTGATTACCTGTACACTACCACTCACAATCAGCACATATTTTTATGAAAACAGCCAATCTATGTCAAACTTAAATCTTCCATTCTCTAAAATATATCTAAGTTTGCTAATTGATAAGGTTGCAGAGTTTGATACATTTAAAAAGAGGATAAAATGCTGACTTTTTTTTTTTTTTGAGGGGTAATTCTAAATTGTTGGGGCTAGAAATGGGGGAGGGAAAAGCTGATGCAAAACACAATATAAAGTAAAGTACCCCAGACTCAACTACTCCAAAAATGTCTCTGACATCACGGATAGGCTGCTTATTTTTCTTCCGTCGGGAGCGGGTGTAAGTATCCAACCGTCGCTGTACAGCTGCAGCCTGAGTCTTGGTCAAAGTGGACAGCAGGACAATATTGCCGTTCTCTTCAGCATGGTCCCCCATTAGGTCAGAGAGCCCTGCGTCCTGCAGCCATTCAGCTTCAGCTTCCCCCTCTGAGAGGCAAGGAAGAACGAGAAAAGCAAGGTCAACAAATAGCACACCACTTACTATTCAAAGGACAGATTCATACAACATTATAATGCCTGAATTTAGATTGATAAAACACAACTGTTGTATTCACATAAAATATTGTATGATTGGTCAATGGTTCATGCAGCCTACAGAAACAATGGCTAGATTGCCACAACACCCTGAACTACAGACAACTCAATGCCTACCCTAATGTTCTGTGTGAATCCAGCCACAGAATAATTCACAGAGAAAACGTAGTGTTAAAAACAAAACAAATTTGACTTTAACCAAAGATACTTTAAGAAGCTCCTGTTATTTTCCCAGAACGGTAGGGGTGAAAGGGCCCAATGGGCCAGTTTGCACAACTCCCAGCCCTAGGTAAGTACCCATCTATTTCCTTGAGTCAAGCCCTCATCAGATATTCAGCTCTCTCTGCAATCTAGAATTCTAATAAAGCAGGATCCCAGATTGTAAGGATCTCAGAATTCACATCCATGCAACACAAATAAAGAAAGGAGTAGCAGGTGCACGCGATGTTTTTTATATTCTATATTCAGCACTTTTCCTCTATTTCTTTGGCTATTTATGCTGAAACAGATTGACTTGGGATGTCATCTATCTTGACTGGAAAAGTGATTTTATAAATTGTTTCTGGATGAATAAAGTTACTTTACAAAGATTTTCATCATATACTTTGCATGTTTGATCATCTTTGCAAAATCTTGTGTTTCTCCCAAGCTCAGTTCAGTACTGTTCTTCTAAATCCTTTCTTCAGGCATTTGTACACTTTGATTCCTAAAAAAAATTCCTTAAGTGAGATATATTAACCAAGGCTATTGAATTATTGCAATCTTTGTTCCAAACAACATGCATTCTTTCTGAAGTGCTGCTCTCTGCTTTGTGTCTTTCTTCATAGGTACACACACAGAGGTATAAAAACCTCTTTTTATTAAATTGTTTTATTTTGACACTAGATATGGGTTATAAAAAAGAAATTCCCAGCAATACTTTTTTTTTTCCAGTTTTTCTTAGAACAGAGTTAGGTTGTTTCCTGCCACAATTTTAATTTCATTTCCCATTATTTCTAACCAGATACGCTGCATACTTAGGGAAGCAGACCCACAAAATCTGACATCTATTTATAGCCCAACTCTTCTTAGGACACTTCCCCACTGCTGAGCTGAAATGCTCTCCACCCATTTTTGAGTTGGAAGAAAACTATTGGGGCATGACACTTGCTGTCCCCACAGCTGACCTCTGTCCTGTCTCTCCTGCCTCTGTTCCACTTACTGCCAATTCTGACTTCTCTCCAAGATAATGAACGATGAAGCCTAAGAGATGTTACACATTTTCCCCCTAAGATGCTGTCATAAAACTGAGAAAAGCAACTGGCTTAAGACTGTCTCACTCATAGACCAGAAACTAGACGAAGAAAACATCATGGGGACATGGCACCCAAAAAGAAATTATCAGGGCATGTTTGTATCAGGGATAGGTGAAAGTGGGGAAAGCTTTTACCTTCAATCTTAGTGAATCACAAACTGTGACCGAACAAAAATGAGAAACTATACACTGGAGTTTCATAATAAAAAAATCTGATTCTCCTGCCCCAGAACACGGTTTATAGAACCAGTATTATTCTACAAGGAATCTGGACTTATCCTGGTATGAACAAAAAGTATAACATCCAAGAGCCTTAAAAGAGACTCTTGGAAGTGGAGAGACCCTTCTGAGCATCTAGAAGGGAAAAGCAGCAAAAGTGTGTTTGTGTGTGTAGAAGAGGTTTATTTACATGTGTCACTGATTCCCGACACATGCAAATGAACCTCTTCTACACACACAAATACACTTTTGCTGATTTTTCTTTCTAGCTGCTCAGAAGGGTCCCTCCACTTCCAAGAGTCTCTTTTAAGGGCCATGGTTGAATGGCACACCATCACTAGACAGAGCACATTCATCCCTTTCACTCCCACCCAGTAGGTACAATTACTTAGAGGCCAGGAAAATATAAGCATATTTCAAAGAAAAGCACATGGCATACTAGTTTCCAAACACAGAAACAGTTTTTCTTTTGTGAAAGACTTCACACTGACAATGGGGAACTCTACCAGGTCAATGAGATTCTCTATCTGCCTAGCAGAAAACAGCAGAAAGAAATCAACACATCTGTCCAAATTTACATGAAAAGCCTACGTAAGGTTTAATTCATACCTAGACTTCCCTTTGGGAATAAATTCAGCTTAATAGTTGTACATACAAAACCGGTTAACTCTATTCTCCCAGGACTGCCAATGGAATTTAGGCTGAGGAACTTTTATCTTTCAACAGCACTGCAGAAGGCCAAAAAGTGAACTTAGAAACAATTGGCCTTGGGAAAGTTGGTTCCTGGTTTGACCAAATAGGGCATGAAGGCAATCAAACCTTTACTAATGTATAATAAAAACAAACAGAAATGTATGCCAAAAACTCTGATCCTGGCAGGAAGGAAGGGGAGTTTGAACTGTTAGCTCCCAACACTGTTCAAATCTCCAGTCCCTGCTTCTTGCCTTGGGAGACAAGTTTCCATTGCAACTAATAGAAACTTTCCACCCACGGCAATAGCAAGCATGGAGAGGCTTAATTCACGCACAAACTTTAGTGATGGCAGAGTTATGGTGAGGTCAAAGAGCTGAAACACTTTTGCTTCTCCCTCTTCCACAGTAATAAACATTTCTGAACTTCTTCCCCTAAAACTTTTCTTAAAAATCATGCCAGACTTGATTATATTATTAGCATTTAGAATCATCAAGTTATAGAGTTAGAAAGCATCATTTAGACTGCTGAGTTCAACCTCTTGCTTAAGGCACTGAAACATCCCCAAGAAAATTCTCTCCAGCTTCTATTTCAGTACAAACAGCAAAAGGAATGCTACCATCTCCCTAGATAACTTGTTTGCTTTGGCTGCAATTCTTTGTCCCAGACTGTACAAAAGCTTTTATCTCAAGTACAAAACAAAGATTACTTGAAAGAACTTAGTATTTGCCACAACTGTTGTGTCCAGTAAGCTACTGTTTACAAAAATATTCTCAGGCCCAACAGCTCCAGTAAGGTACAGACACTTCTTACCTTCCAGGAGCTTGGCTTCTGTAAGGCTGCACTCTTCAGACTCAGATTCAGTGCTCTCTTTGATGCTCTCTACTTCTAGCCAAAAGGTATCCATTGATAGGTTATTTGATGAATCTGTCTGGGATTGCCTGTATTCCAGCTGTGGAATGTCTGAGGAACTCTTCCGAGAAAAGTGATTCATCTTGCAAGGACAATTTCTAGTACTAAGAGAGAAGGGGAGAGAAAACACAATTATTATACATATTAATATTGCATGATATCAGTGCTTACTGCATGAACAGACTGTCAACAACTTCCAGAAAAGATAAGGTTCTGAAACATCCTACTTTTTCTTATTTTATTTCATGATAATGTAGACTAAAGACTGAAAATGAGCCCAAGCTTTGACGTGAGTAGAAGGGACAACAAAGTAAGTTTCCTTGTCGTGTCCTTGCTATGACCTGGATGGAAACCTCCTTCAGAACATGCAGAAGAACATCAAAAGGTTCAGAGTGAGTCTGCAAACACAAAGAACTTCATAAACTTAAAGGAAATTTTTTTGCAATCCTAAAAATATTGAAAAGCACTCATTATCATGATTGTTTATGGAATGAAAAAAGTCAAAACATATTATTAATGTGTTTATTAAAACCAACCGAAATGTCACAAATGAGTGTGCAAACTTTCATATTCTCCAAAATTCTTTCTCAGGAAACAGAGAGAAAAAAGGGGTGGGCTAAGTCATGCTTTCCCCCATCTTGTCTGTGGTGGCTTCAAACCAGTCAAGCCACTATATTTAAATGTGTGTGTTTTTTTCAATAGATGCGATACATGGCCAGGTAGCCAGGATAAGGATCAAGCTGGCTGCTCTCTAGCCGTGGAGTATATTTTTTGTTTGCTCTCTACCTCATGCTTGATGTGTAACTGATTCACAGATCACACCACACCAGACTTAGCATGTGGTATAAACACAGTATCTCAAGCCAGAAGAATGTTATAGTCCAGTATTCAGAAAGTTATGTCCAAGATGTTTTAAGGAAAAAAATTGTCAATAAAAGTTTCTGAAAGTGATCCAGGTCAAACTTTCTGTTCAGTGGCTTAGGGAATGTACTCAGCTCCAAGATCTCTGGATGAGAGCTTTTCTACGAGATACTACAGGAAGCAGAAATGCAGAGCACATGCTTTACTACTAAGCACTAGAAATCTTTCTCTATTTTTCCCAATTCTATCTGTACATGTGTGATGCTAGAGAAACCCAAAATTATATTAAATATGCAAGTGCCTGTTTTTAAGAAACAAAACAAGGGAAAAATAAGGTTGCTTGATACATAAATATCCTTTTAAGCTGCATAAAATGGGCTATTGACAGCTATAATCAACCCAAAGGTTGCAACACTACTAAATATGGCTGCATTCACTACTTGTTCTAGAGCTGAGAGAAGAGTGATAATTGTTCTATATATGACATAAATCTTTCCACAGTTAGCCCTAGTTTAGCTTAAGTTCCTGTATAACACACATCCTCAGGTTCAAGGCTGAAATAACAGGTATCTCTTGTTAGAAGATTTAGAAACAGGATTCCATTAGCTATTGTGAATTCAAGTGATATATGCCTTAATCTTCCAAAGTACTTGTAAATTACTTTGACATTGACAGTAACACTGCCTAGAACATCCTAAGTCAACCAAATGCTCTCCAGACTTCTACTCTCATAACTACTAGTCAGCATTATCACTGTATCAGGCCTACAGCCAAGTAAAATTTACTTCTCCCACCCCACCCCCCACCCCTATTTCTAGGGCTATATCACTAACACATTTGGTCAGTGCTAATTTGGAAAAAGATCGATCTAAATAGATAAAGAGCTTGTTCCTATATTTTACTGTATGAAGTCCCAGCTTGATGGGACCAAAGAAATGTAAGAAAATGCACAGCAATGGAGGAGTCGGGTGAGGAGGAGGAGGAGGGGGAAGGGGAGGGGGGAGGAAGAGGGGGGAGAGGAGGAGAAAGTGATGGAGATGATTAAGGTGAAGTAATAGCTATGTTTTCTTGGATATTCTCAGAATCAAATGCAAACTGATTCCCTGCCTTTCATAACATCATCTTTAATGCATTTCAGGCGACTGAAAGATTTAGCATTTTTAGTGTCCTGAATGTGTCAGTACACTGCGTATACTACCCAGTTGGTGGGATGTGGACAACATATGCTGGCTTGCATGATAGTCTCTAAATTAGAGATCTCATCTTGCATAGATCAGCATGACCATGCTTGGGGTGGAACTGGGCTATGGTTGTACTTGTGCCATGCTGTCACAAGTACAACCATAGCCCAGTTCCACCCCAAGCATGGGCCCAAACCGCTTGGAATTGTCCTTTGCTTTAGTAGGGAATGCTCTATGGCCATTGGTACAACTAAAGTCTTGTAACCTGGTTTACCTTTTCCTTCTCTTCCTGAAAAAAAAAATATTACGTGAAAACCATGGTGGGGGAAGAAGTCAACATTTATCATCTGGCAATGACTGTGGCATGTGGAAGATTGAATATCCTGTATGAAAAAGCATTTTAAAAAAGATTAATCTTGCAACAAAGTGAATGGTAATTAGACACAAGGAAAGTAGACATGGAAGTTGCTTGGGACACAGTGGAAAAAAAAGGTTACGAAGTGTGTGGAATGCACTAATGGGAAGTCAAAAAAAAAAATGCAACAGGCTATCAATAGTGGTGTTACAGACTACCTAATGAATCTGTAGGAGCCACATGAGGTTCTGATAACATTCTGTGGCAAAGATATGCAAAAGTTCAGAAAAATCCAGAAGCAGACAAATATTTTCCCCCAAAACTGTACATCCTAAATATTGTACACCCATTAGGGTACAGACACAAGTTCAGCCTGAAAGACTATGGGGTTTGAGAACTGAGAGTAGAGAAGAAGCCTCTTCGTTTCAAATCAGAAAGGTCAAGTTTCAGCTACTCTATAAAAACTAAGTGCTTCGTGGGACAGATTTCTTATAGTCCAAGTTCCGTAGACTAGAATCTGCTTCATAAATGCAATTTACATATTAGGTTCCCATGAGCTTTGGTGGCAGACTGTTAACAGTGAGGCCGCTATTCACATTTCCCCACCCTCCACCTGTCACAGGAGCATTCTATGCTTAATGTGAATTACATAAGGCTCTTGGGATATCTTCCACAAAACGTATTCTCCACAAAACCACATATCTGCTTACCATTACTGCTCTTATCACTGGAGGAAACTGCCCAGCTTCCGATGAAGCCTAATGTATCCTGTGACAGAGTCTGAAAGCTGTTTTTTAATTTGTTTTGTTTTTTGTTTCGTTAGTTGGGTGGAAAAAAACTATGGAGGCTATTTTGTGCAATTAAAGAAAATTCCTAATACACTGAACCAAGATTTTCATATTGAATTTATAGATGGTCAGTTCCAGTCTTTTATGTATGCAACCACAGAATTTGTAAGTGAATAGAATTTTAGAGCAAAAAATTTGATTTGGATCCCAGAATGGGAAAAAGCCAGATTTCCCAGGCTGATATTAACTTTCCTGCCCACATACATCTACACTCATACACTGTGGGCTACCACAGGAGCACATGATGACATATGAATGATGATGTCATCCCATACATGGCACAACTTATATGTGTGAGTGACTGACACGTTACATAACTGCATGTTCTGTGTGATGACGTGTGATTGTGAAGGACGTGTTGTCATACTGACATAGCAGTGGCTTGTAACCTACCTATGATATGGCCAGGATTTCACTTAGATACTAAACCTGAATTTATTTGACTGCCATGGGGAATTAATACACAAATGTACATCAAAGACTATGTCAGAAAGCGTTTTAGTATTTCCTTCTGAAGACAATAAATAAGGAATGAACCAACGATCTCTGTGAATAGCAACAATTTATTTAGATGCACCACTGGAAGACCTGAAGGGATTATAGGCAGATCATCCTGGAAGTGGTCTATCATATGTCTATCGTAAGAGTCAACACCAACTTGATGCCACACAGTCAATTAAAAAATAAAACCAGAATGGCTGCATTCATACAATAAGCTTTAAACTATGCCAACATGTGACTGTGTGATTCAGTATGTTGGAGAAACACACTGCTTTAGTATGATAGAAGAATGTCTAGGCCATAATATTAAGTCATAATATGGTTTAATCTTTTTGGTACAGCATGATATATGAATATAGCAATTTAGTTTTGTTAACCTGATAGGTATTTGTACGTTGAATGAATCCAGTCACTATCTGATAATGTGTACCCCTTGGCAAACTGCAACTCAGAAATGTCTAACCATTAAAAAGCTGCAGTGTTATGCTGTATGATGTCCAGTCCTAGAGGAAAAACAACCACCCTAATCCTATCCTCCTGGGGTGGAAATACCAAAATTACAGAGTAATATTTTATGAAGTAAATGCATAAAGTAAAAGATGCCCCTCCATCTAGCTGCTCATTTTCTGTACAAGCTCCATTTTTTTCTTCAACCCATTTCTGGCATGTCTCTACCTAGCTAGTCATCCAACAAAGCAAACCTGTAAAGCAGCTGTTTGAAACTTGGTTATTGCAAAAAGCCTGTGATGTGTATCAAATATAAAAAACTAAACAAAAAAACTATTCAGACAACCCTTCTGCTGGCAAACATGCTGACTGAAAGAAACTTCCCTGCCTGCGGTGAGGGGGAAGGGAAAGAAACACCAGGGAGACTGGAAGGATCAGCAGCAGCTGAATTGGTATGGTTCCTTCCTCTTGACCAAAACCAGTGTTTCTCTTCCTCCCAGGCTGCACAATTTTCCCTGCCATTGCCATGCTTCCTGTAAGCTGCTCATTAATCCTTCCACCCCATAACCAGCACTACTGCTCCATATGTGCCCCTGCTTCTTTCTCACTGCCTCCCAGAGCTACTCCGCTAGCCTACTAGGACTCCCGATGTATCCTACTTGCTGAAGCCCGCTCTTATATTTTCCTTCTTCCGTCAATGTTGACCTACTGCAGCCACCCAAGCTGTGTCAATAACTTTCCCCATTCACCTTCCTCGCAAGCAAGGCCAAGTGACAAAGACTGCGCTACAGAAGCTAAGGTGACCACCTGTGTGGTCTTCCTCAGCCTTGTCACCAGCATCCCCACAGGCGGAATTTCTTTCACCTGCCTGGCAGCCTCCACTGTGGAT